GTACATAAGTACTTATAACCCAGCCAACAAATAAATAATAAATCAGTTGACACCTTACCTCGCCATGTTTTCTAATCTCCTCAATAATGACAGTATCATAACTTGAATGTGTACGCTTTCCACCCCATCGAAAAAGTGGAACTTCTTGCTCATTGACCACTCTCCCAAAACGCTCTCCAAAACAAATGACAGATTCATACGCCCAAACCAACAACACGTCCTTCAGACCGCGTATGGTGTATGTCCTTCCTTGTGGATTCAACATCTTAATAGAGCCAACAAGAACTTCATATGCAGTCCTCCCCCATGGATACGTCATCATGGCTTCATCGTCGAATACTCTTTTTGCACTTTCAAACGGTATCCTAGAATTATGATGCAAAGCATAAAGTCCCATGGCTTGAAGAAGTAACAGCCTTAACCATTTACGCTTTTCAAAACTCCAGGCCGGACATACCTCTAATGCTGCCCTCAGTTCATCTAACTTGGGTCCCACCCCAAGCGGCAGATTCAACTCCTCCCAAAACGCTTTGTATTGGTCATGTTCAAAACTTCCAGTTGGCACTGGATATGTGTTTAACTCAGTGATCTCACCAAATTCGAGTAAGCTAAACCTGATAGGTTCATCACCAACTAGACTCCAAATCTCCTTCAAGTATACTCAAAGCTGTCGACATAGTAGATAGTGGACAGTCCTACCAGACCACACGCTTTTGCGTTCAGCTAGCTTCACAATAATTCCAAGAGGACCCTGCCTCATGTGATCCCACACATCCCGTCCTATTGCTTCTCTGACGTTAGGGAAATCTCCCATCTGCAAATTGTGATTAATCTCTTTATTTTCTAGATTAGAAGCCCCTTCANTCCTAAAACACATATATAGATAAATCAGCCGCAATAGAAACAAAACTCAGCAACAACATAATAAATAACCCAGCCACCATATCAATAACTCAGCCAAAACATAATCAATAACTCAGCCAAATCATAAATAATAAATAACTCAGCCACAACATAATATATAACTCAGCCACAGTAATCAATAACTCAGCCAAAACATAATTAATAACTCAGTCGGATCATAATCAATAACTCAGCCACTTCATAAATCAAACTCAACTCAGCCACACTATACAATAACTCAGTAACAACATAATCTATAACTCAGACACGTCGTAAATCAAACTCAGGCACAACATACCAGAGAAGACGAGAAGATGATGTCGTAGATACGATTACGTCGAAACTTTTGCGGAGAAGAGGATGTCGACGAAGATGATATCGGAGACGGTTAGGGTTTAACGAGGTCGACGAAGATGATTTACGATATTGGAAACACTGTTTGAAACGAGAGTATTAGTTGTGACGAAGATGATTTCGCGATTTCGTGATTTCGTAATCGGTTAGGATTTAACGAAAGTTGTGACGGAGAAGAATGTGACATTAAGACTTTTTTTTGTTCACCGGAGATATGGGACTGTTTCTTTTCCAGTGTAACTGTTGATGACACAAATTAGTTAGTGACGTGGATTGTCAAAATTATGATGTGGATTTAATAACTAAAATTTGTATCAATAGTAACAAAATTAAGCAAGGATGTTTATTGTAATTTACTAGAAGTCTAAAAACATTCTAGTAATTTTTAGAAAATATATACTATTCTAGTCATATACAAGTTTTTGTGTATCATTCTAATAATTTTCTCTTTTTATCTTGATCAACTTAATTGGCCAAAGCCCTCTTTACGCCCCCACAAAACCGAGGGTGGAAACCTCCGACCGACCCTTTTACAGTGTTTCTTATTTTTTTTTTCCTTTCTTTACTTTATTCATTTTTTCTTTCCTATGTTATATTTTTCCTTCTTCGCCTCACGTTCTCTTCCTTCAAATATTTTTTGGAGTCTGCTCTTCTCACTCAATTTAAATTATCTTTTAAAAAAAAGTCCCATATCTTTTTTTTATCTTCTTTTGTAGTGGGTTCATTCTTTTTCTTCTCTTAGTTATAGAAAAATTATTATAGCTGTATTATTTAGTTTATTTTTTCTTCTAAATATTATCTTTATTAAAATATATAAATTTATTCATTTAAAATGTTAAATAGAAAACTATTAGTAAATTAGTTTTTTACCCTCACTCAATATATTTTCTAGATCCGCCACTCCACAATAGGAAAATTTTTATATGAAAAGTATAAAAAAGTTCGAAGGCCTACAAGATGTCTGAAACCAAAAAAAAATACAGTTACAAATACATTTTAAGGCTAAATATACTCTTATTTATTTCAAAAGAGGCATAAAGTACATATATATATATATATATATATATATATATATATATATATATATATATATATATTAAATATATCTTAGTTTTGTAAATGAACCTTTACTGAGTTGGAATCACGTTGAAGTCTTTTTAGTGTTTACTTATGTGTGATCAGCCCTGGTGATTCTTTTCTTGATATGATATATTGACAATGTTAAAAGAGAAAAAGTATGATTCATGCAAATGTAAAATGTTAATGGAAAAAAATGTTGTGAGAGCTTAAAATCTGTAAAACAACCAGATTTAACCAGGTTAACTCCAAAAAACTTAGTGTTTATTTTTTAATAAGAAAGCTCTTACAAAATAGGTTAACTCCGATCAAACCAATACTATCAGTCTCAGATTTTGAAGAAAAAATATGTGTTGCCATAAAAATGTCTAAATAAAATTAGCTATGTAAAACCAATAGTTACCAAATTGTTCTAAGAAAATGTATGATTACATCACCAAGTTACATGAGAAGACAATTTTATAACATTGATTGACATATGGTAAAAATCATATAAGATTTGCTATATTGATAATGGTTTTGAAACCAGAGTTCGTTTTGGTAGAATGTTTTCCTTTTGTCAACTAGTAGAATGTCTATATCTCAAGTTTTTTATTATCATAATGACTATTCGATCTAAAAGCTCATGATGGTGTGCTATATAATAGTGGTAGTTTTTAGCTTGATTTTATTGGTTAAGTTATTAGAGTGACATTTACACACTTAAGCAACTAACGTTATGTATATAAACAAAACGGCTTCATGGATTGGCTAATCAATTATTAAAGTGTATTTTTTGGGTATTTCTCTTTCCCTCGAACTTAATGTAGTATTACACTAAATGTTATGTGTTCAACAAATGATGAAAAAAATTAAAGTGTTTTTAGTGTGTGTGAAAAATACATAAACTACACAATTGCATACGGAAAACATTAAACACTGAAACGAAAAAAGTATCTCAAGGTTTTCATGGAGCACAATCTGTCTTCCTAAAGCTGAGGGGGTCTAGGCTTGCGTGACATTGGTCGATGGAACAAGACACTGTGTTTGAAGCTGATATGGTTCTTATTCACAAATACTGACTCGTTGTGGGCAGAATGGACTAGAGAATACAGACTTAAGGGTCAAAATTTCTGGGCTATTGATGAAAGCAAGGAAACTTCTTCAACATGGAAATCAATTCTTTCTCTGCGAGGTTTAGCTTCCCGTTTCATTAGACCGAAGTTGGGTAACGGAAGAATTATAAGTTTCTTGTATGATTGTTGGACTCCTCTAGGGCCGCTCTTTCATAGGTTTGGAGATATTGGTCCAAGAGAACTTCAAATCCCAGCTACTGCAACGGTTTCTGATGCTTGTAACATGGCAGGATGGAGAATTCGTGGTGCTCGCTCAGAGGCAGCTGAGGAGCTTTTAGTCTTTTTGACTACCCTGCAACTACCTTCACTCTCTATGGAAGAGGACTCATATGTCTGGGTAGTTGACAGTGAAGAGCTCACAGACTTCTCTTCCAGCAAGACTTGGAACGAAGTTAGAAACAGAGGACAAATCCAACAATGGACAAACAATATCTGGTTCAAGGGTCATGTACCGAAGCATGCGTTCACTGCTTGGGTAGAGCACCAGGATCTCCTCCCCACCAGGTACCGTTTGTCTAGATGGGGAATGAACGTATCGCCCCTTTGCTGTCTCTGCAACTTATCGGAAGAAAACAGAGATCATCTTCTGTTGCGATGTGAAATTAGTGAAGCAATTTGGGTTTTGGTGCTACAGAGACTAGGATACCATTCTGACATTCTCTAGCATTCCACACATGGACTGCTTTCTCTGATTAGTTATCTTTGAGGGATGCTTTCACAAGCCGAACGCTCAAAAGAATGGTCGCACAAGCAACAATTTCAAGCATCTGGACAGAGAGAAACAAACGACTACATGATGGTGAAGCCTCGAAATCCAGCAGCTGTCTTCAAAAACATTGATAGCATAAACGATACAATCCTGGGAAAAAGGAAGCTCAAGTCCTTCATCCCGCTTATGCAGCAATGGCTTCGGTTTGAATAACGGACTGGTTTCATTAAAATCTTATTGTTGGCTTAGCTTTGTTTTATTTTTTTTGCCGAGGCTGACTCAACCATCTATTTCAAAACCTTTTGTAACCATTTACAAAATCTTCTCATATTAATATGATATTCAAAATTTGGCAAAAAAAAAAAAACATTAAACAGTACTGTTTAGAAGAATAAGAGCGAGAGAGAGAGTATATCACCAACACACACCAAAAGAAGAATGTAGCACCAAAAATAAACTTAGCAATAGAATGGTATTCAACTATTCTTAAGTAGTATTTATAGTAAAATTTCGATGTTAACCTATAATGATTAAATTATGTAGCCATTCAAAATTTAGGTCAAAATGTAAAATTAATGAAAAAAAGGTTGAAATGCAGACATATAAAAGATAGTATACCAAATACATTGTTAATATTAGATAATCATATTTTTCATATCTTTTCCAACCACGAGGTCCACACATGATTATCACCCTTAACATATTAATTACAAACATACATCAAAAGGAATCTTCTTTTACAAGATTCCTAACATAACTTAAAAACCCAAACGATGCAGATTATTCATCACCATCGACGACGCCGCCATACATTTTTATTTGATTTTTCTTCAGTAAATAGATCAGTAGTAGTAAAACGACAAAGGTGGTGGGAGCAACGAATCAGTATCTTTCTGGTTAAGTTTGGTCTTAATGTTAAGAGTGTTAAAGACTTTCCCCATTCCAGCGAACACATCCACAGACTCGCCACTCATTCTTTTCCCAAGCCCAATCCCTCCTTGAACCACTTTCAACAATGTTTTGTCGTAAATGTCATCGAGACAAGTCGACTGGTAGTTGAAGATCGAAGTCATCTTCTGCTTACATGTGAAGTAATTATCAGCCATGCTCGTCATGTCTTTTCCCGCGGCTTTCCAGAAATCTGCAAAGTCTTCCAAGGCGTTGTTTAGTTGTTTCTCACAACTGGTGATGCAAGTTGTGGCAAAAGAGTCTCCCTTGTACTTGGGTTTGATTCCGGAGAGGAACTTCAAGCCCTTTTTAACTGAGGTTTCTGCTGCTGTCGCTAAGTGACGGACCAAAACATCCGGATCATTGCTTGGGACGGTTTTCAGGGTTATGCTACAGAGACGTTTGTCTTGGACAACGCTGCATATTCCTGCAACGGTTTTCTCGTGTTCTGGTGTGACGACGTCACGTTTGGCTGGGACTACGAATGCAGTTGCGGTTAGGGCGATGCACAGTATTAGAAAGGCGAGTTTTATTGGAGTGTTCATTGTTTGGGTTTTTTTCTTTCTGTTATTGGACCTGTGGATTGGAAAGGATTAGATAGAAAAAGAGGAAGAAGAAGAAAGGGGTGCGTGTATTTATAGAGAGTTGTTTATATGGTTTTGCTAAATTTGATGAATGTTTATTTTTGTAATTAGTTTTGACTATTTTCAAAGATTAATGGATGATCACGAGTGAATTGAGGCGTTTTTAATCCGTGGACATGTCATGCTCCTGTTCCTCAAAGAAACTCTATTTCTTTTTACTTTTTTTTTTTATCAGCCAACAGAGACAACGTAAATCTATAATTTGTTCAGAAATTAGGTAAGAATGAGACTAAAATTTTCTTTAAAAAGGTGAGAATATCAACAAATTTTGGTGAAAATATATTTAAGATATAACCATAGTAACAGCAACAATATTATACTACAGTAAAACCTCTATAAATTAATAATGTTGAGACTTTTAAATTTTATTAATTTACATTATTAATTTATAGAGATATTAATTTAAGAAAGTTTTTTTAATTTAGATTTCTTCTTTTCAGATATATTTATTCTAAGATAAGAAAAATATTTGATTTTAATGTATAAACATTAACTTTTTTTTTTTGAAAATTGACATTTATAATAATTTATTATATTCTTTAGTGTATATAATACATATTGAAAATAATGTAAATGTGATTTTAGATATAAAAATACTAAAGTAGATTTTGACCCGCCATTTAAAAGCACGAGATTAATTATATTCCAAAATCCTAATTTATTTTATTTTAATTAATACTTGTAGTTCTAAAAATCATAAGCTATATTTTTTAGATAGTTATATCTGTACTTATATTCTTGGGCTTTTTGCAAATTTGACTCAAAACTCATGGTCAAACACAAAACTAACTTCTTCTTTTATCTCATCTTGTTTTTGTCCTATCCACCCCACATATTCATTTTATTTACGAAAATGCCATTAATTTTTTTTTTTTACTTTTTTTCGAAAATTGCCTTTTTACTCTCTCAACTTCATCATCTTCAAGTATTTACAACATTGCCATTGCCATGAATACTCCCAACAACCTTGTACAACCCAACAACCTTGTACAACCAAGGTTTGAAGCTTTTAACGCACTTAAAATCGATACTCATACTCTCTTTCTCAATTGTTATGAACTAAAAACAACATCTTCTTCACTTTGTCTCCATATTCATGCCAAAAACCCAAGCTTTTTGATAGCAAATTTTTTTATGGTTGATAGAGCCATTTAAGCATACAATTGTTGGTGGGTTACTTTCGTTCGATGTTCTGGGTGGTTGGAGAAGTCTCTGTGTGCAAAGGAAGTCATCTCACCTAGTTTAAGGTTTGAAATTGAATTTTTTTCCAGATCTCTTCGCGTAGAAGACTTACCCGTAAGTCGTCTGGATGTAGAAGACTTACGAATAAGTCGTCTGGTCAAACGGACGACTTACTTCTAAGTCATCCAGCTTTGTTTGTTAAAAAAAAAAATCCAGACGACTTAATTATAAGTCGTCTAGATAAAACGGTCTACTTTTGCTTTTGACCGAATTGTATCAGATATTTGACTTTTTCTGGACGACTTATAATTAAGTCGTCCCTGGGAAAGTTAAAATTTCAATATTTTATTAAATCTAGACGACTTAATTATAAGTCGTCTCAGGTTAGTTTTGCAATTCAAAAATAAAACTTAAATTTTTAACTTTTCCAGACGACTTAATTAAAAGTCGACCGCTCAGACGACTTAGATTAAAGNACTTTTTCTGGACGACTTATAATTAAGTCGTCCCTGGGAAAGTTAAAATTTCAATATTTTATTAAATCTAGACGACTTAATTATAAGTCGTCTCAGGTTAGTTTTGCAATTCAAAAATAAAACTTAAATTTTTAACTTTTCCAGACGACTTAATTAAAAGTCGACCGCTCAGACGACTTAGATTAAAGTCGTCCAGGATTATCAAAGTCGTCCAGAATATTTTTCGAGTTTTCTGGTCAAACCTTGCTTATTCTGGACGACTTTAACATAAGTCTTCTGATCAGACGACTTCTAATTAAGTTGTCTGGAGAAGTTAAAAATTTAAGTTTTATTTTTGAATTGCAAAACTAACCTGAGACGACTTATAATTAAGTCGTCTAGATTTAATAAAAAATTGAAATTTTAACTTTCTCAGGGACGACTTAATTATAAGTCGTCCAGAAAAATTCAAATATCTGACACAATTCGGTCAAAAGCAAAAGTAGACCGTTTTATCTAGACGACTTATAATTAAGTCGTCTGGATTTTTTTTTTTTAACAAACAAAGCTGGATGACTTAGAAGTAAGTCGTCCCATTTGAATTTCAATTGCAAAAATGACCTCAATGGGCGACTTAGTTCTAAGTCGTCCAGACGATGTTTAGTAAACTTTCATGAAATTCTCTATGTTTAGTAATGTGTTTTATTTTGAATTTTTGCAGATGATTCGTCAGTTACATGCAGTGTATGGAGAATGGTTGTTGAAAGATTGCTGTTGGGATTTTGTGGTTGATGATCTCAAAGGAGCAAGATTGTTTTTATTGAATGAAGATTCAACACATGCTGAACTTGTTGCAATGACACAAGAAGATTATAACCTGGACATGAGCACAGTCACTGTGGAGATTAGATACTCATTACCAGCAGAAATGATGATGGCTCCAGACACCCCTCCCATTCATGTTACAAGTGATAGACAAGTTCATAACTTGCCCGAGATACTCAAAACTCATAAAGTATGTCTTTGTGTATCAAGCCGTAGCAAGGTGGGAACGGTTTCAGAGAAAAGGGAAGAAGCTTATGAATGTTTTGAAGATGAAGGTGATAATGAGTTGGTTGGAGATGAAAATCATGATGGGGAGGAGGATGATAAGGAGGAGGATGATAAGGAGTAGGATGATGGGGAGGAGGATGATAAGGAGGATGATGCTGAAATCTCTGTTTGCTCTAATGTTGCTGAAGCGGACGAGAATGGTGAGGATTATAGTGTTTATGGAAAGGTTAGAGATGAGGATGAGGAAGAAGATGGTGATGTGGTTTTTGAAGATTTCAAAGATACATATGCTATTGAAGGAGGACGATCGAATGGTAA